GGAGCACCTTGCTGATGGCCAGCATACATCCCGTTATAGATCGGTGGCGGTTGGGCATGGCTTGGTGTGTGGAACTGATTCAATTGCATATTGTATGCATTTTGTGCTGCACTCTGGGCGTGTGCTGCTTGTGCCGCCCGCTGTTTACTGGCTGCCTCCGCTTGCTGCTGCTGCTGGATTCCAGGCGCCACCGTCTTATTTAGGGATGAATACTTCAGATTCATCGGAGGGACGAATGGCCCAGTGAACTTTTGCTGCGTGATAAAGGGGTGCAACTTGGCCTGTTGTGGGGACCAACGCTCGAGCGGATTGATGGTCAACAACCCTCGAACAAAGTCTATGAACGCTATGCGGTTATTGAGTTCTAAAAAGTTGTCAGTCCATGCATTCGGAGAGTATGTTGGTAGACGGCGTACCTCGCTCGATCTCCGCTTGTTTCATGTTCTTCCTGGGCATCGGGTAGCTGCGGATGATTTCCTCAAGGGTTGAAGCCTGGAAGTACTTCTTGCTTGGTTGTTCCTTGGTGTTGTGCTCGCGAGAATACTGCTCCAGGGACTTCAAGCGATACGTCTTCCTGCCGAACTCATCCTGGGTTTTCTCGAAGAACTCGCCCGATTGCTTGCCCATCTCTAGCATCCATGTCGGAGGGAGGCCCAGCATCTCGACGATTCGACAGACTTGGTTGTATTCTGAGGAACCAGGAAAGAGCGGAAGGCCCAGGAACAGTTCCACAACGATACATCCAAGGGACCACATGTCAATCGCAGAAGAGTAGCTAGGGAATTGTCAGTTGTGCCGTCCATCAGGGGAAAGGGTTAGGCGCGAGACGATTGCGGTGGGACGTACGGCAAGCCAAGAAGAACCTCCGGCGAACGGTAGAATCTCGACTGGATGTAGGTGTAGACAGTCTGCCTCTCATCGCACGCTGAGCCGAAATCGATCACTTTTATAATGGGGCTCTCCAGACTGCGAGGCATAGAGTTAGCTCCAACGATCTACAAGTGCCTGGACGAGCAACTCACTTCTTTAGCAATATATTCTCCGGTTTCAAATCGCAGTGGATCAGATGTGCCTTGTTGAGCAGACTCAGAGCATTGAGCAACTGTTGGGCAAATACGCGCACCAAGGTCGTGCTAAGACCTCGGAACTGGTTCTGCTTGATCAACTCGTAGAGGTTGACACTAAGCAACTCGAACACAAGACAAAGGTGTTGCCTGTGAATGAAAGTGTCCTTCAAGCGGAGTAGGTGATGATCGTCGTTCTTGTCGTACCTGCTATTGAGCTGTGCCCGTCATTAGTGAGATTTCCATGCAACCAGAAAAGCCTGAGCTTACCAGATCCAAGACCGACACTTCCATCATGCTCTGGTTGAAATAGGCTGTCTTGTTCTTGATGACCTTCACGGCCACGACCTCTCCAGTTTTCAGATTCTGGCACTTCACAACTTGCCCGAAGGTTCCTTGACCCAGTACGTCGAGAATAAGGTAGCGATTCCTGATGCTATTAGCGAAGATGCCCGAATCCTATGCGGAGACCGTCCCGCAGGCTACTTACTTGTGACCTGCTTCCTCACTACCCAGGATGTCATTGACATAGAGAATGTAGTCGCTATCCTCATTGTCGTAGCCATCGTTCTTCACGCCTTTACTGGGCTTCGTCAGGACTCGCCTTGGATTTCTCGAAGACTCGTAGTTGAAGCCCGGATTGCATATGCGATAAGTGGCGGGAAGATGTGTTGTCAACGCCTGAAGGGGCTGTAGAAGTGTCAGAACAAATCCATGCATGTGCCGTGGGGTACCAGAACATACGCTGATAAAGCCACCTTCGGGGTTGGCACGTCTGAAAGGCGGCTGCGCATTCAGGTGCGGTTGCAGGTCCGACACTGACTTGATCTTCTGGAATTTGGGAATGGGTCCTCGACCGGGCAAGTGGCTGCCACCTGAGATAGACGCAGAACGAGGGGATCGCCCGTCTTGCGCGAAGGCTGCGCTGAGCTGGGAGCCCGCAGAGGGCGGATAGAACTGATCGGGGCTCATATCGGTAGGCTGCAGAGGAGGGAGTCGAGGCGGTCGCGAACCGGCTGCCAAACAAGCAAGAAGAGGTTAGCGACGATGGACTGTAAAGCAACCACGAGGGCAGTGGATATCACTCACAAGGCGGTGACTGAAATGATTGTGGAGGTGAGGCGTAATTTGGCGCCCTGGTGGGCGAGCGTCGCGACTGATTCGGGCCGGGCGGGAATGCGTACGAGTTATGTTTCCCGGGACTGGCATTATACGAAGACATGGGCGACGACAAGACGTTCCCGGGAGAGTATCTGCGAGCGGCCGAAGACTCTTCATGGGAGAAGTACTGAGAGGACGGCCGGCTGTGGTGGGCAGGCCGTGCAGTGTACTTGGCCCGGTTATACGGATCGGCGTCCTCCATGGTGGTATCCGCATCGGTGACATAATCTCGACTACGTGGCGTAGCAGCGGGAGACGAGGCCATCGAGACGGTCTTGGAGTTCGTCACGGTCGATGAAGGTTTCCCAGAGCCGGCAGGGGATTGGAAGGGCTCGTAGGAGTATCCGACCGGGGGCTGCGAGTGCTGTGGCTGGCCGCCGTATTTTGAGGCTAGGTGCTGTTGTGGATTCGACGTCAGGCCGTTGTTGAACTGCGCCGAATGGCCCAGTAAGGGATCCTGGTACGGCTGCCACTGGGAATCCATGATTACTCTTCACGCTGGTATAGCGACGCCACTTCAGTAGCAAAGACAGATCAAATCGGGAATTTGATGATCATCTATCTCTGTCGACAGCGCACATGCACCACGATCGGAGCGTTAGATAGCAGGCGGGGACGGCCGACGCACGTAGCGCAATCAGGCGGAGACGACGCGGCACACCAGCAAGTCAAGTAGGTATGTGGTATATAAATTAGGTCTCCAAACGAGGCAAATGAAGGAATTGAGGGAGTAGATCTAGGCAGCGCTGGAGGTCATGTTCCGAATGACCGGTTGTGTTGTTGAGTTGGTTGGTTGGTGGAAGAAGACAAGAGCGACGAGGTGTGTCCGTACGGAGGTTGGGCGGTCGCAATACACAATGACGGACGGGGGGGGGGGGGGGGGAAGGAGTGGGTGCGACGCAACAACCAGTATCGATGCGGCAGGTGACACACGCGAAGGGGGTTGGGGGAAAAGAGATGGGCAAGAAGGGACTGACTGGAGTCCCGGTTAGGACAGGAATCCAGGCAGAAATGCGCACAGTCTCAGAATGACTGGAGGGAACTGGAAATAAATCCAGCTGGAGAGGATTGTGGAGGAGGGGAAGAGAGGGAAGAAGAGGGAAGGAGAGAAGAGTAGCTGAGGGAAAGAGGAGGAGTTCGGGAAGGTTGGCTGTGGTGGAGGTGGAGATACTGGCTGGGCTGTCTGTACTGTACGTAGTACCTTAGTACTTGAGTGCAAGTGCAGGTGCAAGTCACTCTACTCTGTCTGTCTGTCTGTCACTCTGCCTGGCTCTGGTTAGTCTGGGAGGGGGGGAAACCCGATGAGGGCCTCAGGCTCTTCTCCCTTCTCCTCCCGCACTTGGATGGTTCCGGGCAAGGGCAACCAACAACCCACAGACCCAAAACAAATCTTCTGATCTCACGACTCAAAAGGTGTGTTCGCCTCTCCCAGAATACTGTTGGGCGATGACGAACTCGATCGGGGAGAGAGCTTGGAGTGCCTGTCAAAAAGGGTCGATCGGATGGCAGCAAATGGAAGGGCACCACGAAGGCGCAGACCACGCAAGAAGAAGGTTTGGTTTAGTTCTATTGTGAATAATAGGCAGAGAGGCCTGTCTGTATATTTTATGCTTCTGTGGGGTTAAGATTCAAGAGGGGGGAAAAAGACGATTGTGGCTCTAAGTATTCACCGGAAGGCCGCCATTGAGCTCTTTAACTATTGAAGACAATACTACCCGCATAGAATTGAGTAGCTACCTATCCTAGAGTCTCAACATCGTTATATAATGCCCTTCAATCAGTCTGGCCTGCCTGCTCAACCAGCCCCCGTCGACGATCTGCCTCCATTGGGAAGTTTGCATCCACCCCCTTGAGCGATGGCGTTTGTAGTTGGGCTGCTAGGAAGGGCCTCGAAGGAAGACCATACACATTGAGTGTTGATTGATAATGAAAAAGCCCTGATGGTTTTTGTGTAGCTCTCTCTTTCATATTATGGCCCCGAGCACGGTCCCTGGACCCAAGGACCGACCGAAGGAATGGAGGCATATACTAAGTAGATGCAGTATCATGCCTACTATGTAAACAGTATCCTCAATTGACCCCTCCCCAAAACTTACACCTGACGGGACAACCTCCACGACCACCACCACCACCACCACCACCACCACCACCACCACCACCATCAATGCATCCGGTGGACCATGTCATCTTCGCATACCCCATAGTTTAATGAGGCGAACACACGGGCCAGAGCCCACTCCTGTGACGTGGGAGGCTACGTAGGGTGTGACTAACAGTATCCTCCCAGACGGTGTAAAGGGCGGTGCATAGGAAGCTCCTCTTTCTGCCAGACATATCACTGTGGCTGGAGCATGTGGCTGGCCCGTCTTACTCAGCAGGTCTCCATCCTCTCTCGGCGGCCGCCGCGGTCTCTTACACGCACCGATTGTGCAGCTATTTCATCTGATAGCAAGACAACTGCTTTATTTATAGCTGGGCGCTCATCTGACTGGTTTGGCGAAAGCACAACTGAGTCTGAAGTGACTGTGCGCGCTTGCAAGAAGCTTGTATGATTTATAGCTCATTCTTTATTGACCGCAGCCTATATCAATAACCATTGGGCCATCTCTCATTTGATCTGCACTCATTTAGGTGTTAATATTCTGAAAGAAGCACACCCTATTGAGGCGCCATATTGTGTTCTAAACTACATTCATTGAAATATTGCCACGCGCACTTCACTCCTCCACAGGGAAAATGGCCGGAGCGTCCAAACCCGGCCCCAACCCGCCTCGAATGCCCATCGTGGTACCGGAAATGACCGCCGCCTCCTCGCAGGACGTGAAGATGCCCACAGCGAACATCAGCGAGTCCAGCGTAGTCAACCCTGACAATGACGTCTGGGACACCGAGATGCAGCTTGTGTCATCGCTCGCGAAGCTCCAGCAACTGGAGGGAATGGTGAGTGAGACCAACGATATTTACCAATCCCCCGGCCTGGCCATTGGAATCCTTTCACTAACGGCCGAAAACAGATCCATCAATTGCGCACTCTGCTCCCAGGAAGGTTACTGGAACCCCTGATAACGGCCGCCAACCCGGGCATAGCGGCCGGCGGCCGGCAGCAGGGCGTATCGTCACCAACATCACCATCCCCGCGGGCGGTGTTTGAGCAGCTCAAGCAATGCGTCCATAGCGGGGTGCGGGAGGTTGCGGAGTTCCAGACGCTGTGGCGGAGTCCGGAGATGAAGAGCGTCTGGGATCGGGTCGACGCCCAGATCCGGGTGAATGGAGGCCAGCTGCTGCAGCCGACGGGGATGTGGGAGGAGGATTACGACGTGCTGCTGGAGGGGCTCGTCCGGGAGGAGCAAGGGAAGCAAGCGGAGCGGCGGAGCGTCGAGGAGGAGGCGGAGCGGTCGAAGATCCAGGCCACGGAGGGCGGCTGGCGGGCGATTGTGGAGGGGTTTGCCCAGCGGAACGTGCCCGGGGTGCGGGTGCAGACGAGTAAGACCGAGGAGGCGTCAGTGCTGGTAGCACTGGTGAAGGCGGGCATGGTCTTCCAGGTTCACACCGTTGAAGGGCTGGAGAGCCACGGGGTGCCGGAATGGCGGATCGCCAGTAAGGCGGCGCCTGGACAGCCCGTCACCAAGCTCGAGGGGGCGGTCATGCAGTGCTTGAACTCGCGTCCCCGGCAGTGGGACCTGCTCCAATTGCTGGTGAGTTCTCTCCCTCGAACATCTCTAGTACACACCTAACGCAGCAACAGGAGATGATATCATCGTACTCCGACATCAAACAAACGCCGTGCCTGAAATGCAACAAGCTGACCGACACCGCGGCCCAGTTACCCGCCGTCCGCAGGCTGAAACTCGTCCCATCCACGGACGGCCAGCAGTCCATGACCGTCTGGGAAGCCTATCATCCCAGCTGTGTCGCCGAGTGAAAGCGACAAGCAGAGACGGCCATCAAATAGTCTTCAACATCTTCATCAGCCCCACAACGACAAACATTTCTTAAATCCTTGCACATCAACTCGATACCACTCATCAACCTGTCCACATCCAGTAGCGCTTACCATCACCCCAACTCAAGGAGCCCTCCATCCCAGTCTCAGGATCCAACCCCAACTCCCAAACACAGACAATCAGCCCTTCAAACCGCCGACCTCACGACAAACCACGACCTCAAGCAATCCAAACCCCCCTAACCCCCTACCGCATATCGTCACCTAGACCCGGAAATCCACAAACCCCCTCAACAAGACACAAGCAGAACAAAGCCACTGCACAACCAAGCGAACCATCACACCAAGCTACCCATCACCAACCAGCCAGACCCACATCACCAACCTCAAATGAAAGCCTCAAACACAGCACCTCAAAAAGCATCACGATGTGTAACCTATGCTCGCCGAGCCCAGTTGAAAGCACACTGCATCGCAAATGAGAGCCAACTCTCGCAAATCATTAGTGAAAGATCCAGACTGGAAACAAAAACGCCAAAGCCATACATAACGCATCTACATACCCACAAAGCAACCTCAACCCCAATCTCACAAGAGAAAGAATAGACTTTATTCATCGCATATCTCAAATCCTGCTCGCAAACACTTGAATCCCAGTATCCCCTATCCCAGTACCCCAGTAAAGAAAGATGTACTGTATCTGTACCATGACAACCCCGTGCATGAATACATGCATTTGTGCATATGCACACAGACACAAGTACGCACACACGTACATAGAACATACATAGCGGGCCGAGGGGGTAAGTTACAGTGGTTGTACTGCGGTTTGCTCCGGTTATATAGAGTTATAATAAAGTTGTATAAAATTCTGACTAATTATAAGCCCTTTAAATCTAGAAGTACTAAT